ATTTATGCTCACTGCGACAGATTTGGCCAGTTACTCTGTGGCTCTGCTAGTGAGATCCAACAAGGTCGGAACAGCTAACTGTCCAGAGATAGATCAAATAATTATATTGTGTGTGTGTATGTGTGTTGTGTGTGTGTGTTTGTGTGTGTATGTGTATGTGTGTGTTTGTGTGTGTGTGTGTGTGTGTGTGTGTGTGTGTGTGTGTGTGTGTGTGTGTGTGTGTGTGTGTGTGTGTGTGTGTGAGTGTTTATGTGTGTGACTGCACATGCGGCAGAGCGTTTAGGAGAAGTGGCGATTTGAAGCGTGTGTGTGTGTGAGTGTTTATGTGTGTGAGAGAGAGAGAGAGAGTGTGTGTTGGGGGGGGGGGGGGGGTATATTTCCACACCCTGCAGTTTCCTGTTCTGTGGAAATTTGTACATACACTGTTCAGTGGTTTGCAAGCATTGACAGCTGTCGTGTTACCATGTCTGTAGGGAGGCACTACACGTATGTATTATGTGTACGAGTTCTTGTGTCTGTAGAGGAGCACTATTCTTGTGCATGTATGGGTGTAGGGGAGCAAGCGTATATATCTGTATGAGTATGTGTGCTGGGTAAGGGGAGGGGGGGGGGGCTTTTCTATTGAAACTATGATGAAGTTCAATTGCTCTCTTCATGTACATGCTCATACAGCTTCAATGCACTTCGTGTGAGCAGGGCTTCAGGCATTCAATGCACTTTGTGTGAGCAGGGATTCAGCCATTCAATGCACTTCGTGTGAGCAGGGATTCAGCCATTCGGCTTGAGATTATTTGTTTTGGCCCTGTATGCTTTCATGAGACGTTCTGTTCGTGTTCTATCCCTATGCAACGCCCATATCCGTTGCTGCAGCGTGCGTCTCTCCATGGACACAGATAACCCCCGGCTCTATGTACTGCGGTCTGGCGTTGAATGGCACCTACACGTATCGGCAAGCCACAGCTCTCTGCCAGGCACAGCCAGAGGGCGATGCATGGTTGCCTAGAGTGTTTGCAAAGAGAGACAACGATGACCTGGCAGGATTCATTCAAGGGGACACGTGGATAGGCGCATCCAGAAATGTGAGTAGCACATCTAAACTTTACTATTATTATTATTCCACAATCACGATGACATAGTGCCAATAAGCATGTGATGCGGGCGATTTTAACCAGCCATGGTGGGGACAACTGAGAAAAAGAAGGAGAAGAAAAAGAGAAAACAGAACAAAACAAAAGGAGTACTATAGGAACCTGGAGAGAGCAGTATGAAGATTAGGCTAGCAATGGAAGACAACGAATTCAATTCAATTCAACTTAGGCGCGGGCAGAATGGAACAAAATGCAGCGAAGGTGTCACGAGACTTTACCTCCTGCGGAAGCCGAGACCAATGAGAATAGGACTTGAACAGAGGGGATTTTAAAAGGATCGACTGCATAATATTTTTTATAATGCAAAATTTCTAGCTTGTGAAAATGGAAATCTATCACAAATGGGGTTTCCCGCAAATATGAATAAAGTTGACACTTTTTTTACTTGGGCCTTTAGTTATTACATGTTGTTACTTAGTACTAAGAAAAATATGTGGGTGTTTTTATGCTCTTCACCTATCAGACTAAAGGGCAATTTCACTGGGCTGGTACTAAATACTCACTAATGGGTACTTCATACTGGAATTGGGACAGAGATGAGCCAAACAGCTCCTATGCTGATGCCGCAGTCATGATGATGTCATCCCATGCGGAGCTGGGACTATGGAGAGTGGTGTCGAAATCTGACAGGCTCCATGTGCTGTGTGTTAGAGGTATGTGCTGATCCATGTACTGCTGTGCATATTGGTAGGATTTGTTCTACTTTTACGCCTTCTGTATGGTCTCACAACATCATGTGAAGAAGTTGATTAGCGGTGTACTGCATTATGGTACACTCAATTGCACGGTATCGATGGTCAGCTGAAGTGATTGCCGTATTTTCCCCAATAAATGTACAGTACTTTTAATTTTTAAAAGGTGGTCAGACCCGTACTACTATAGGAGACTGTCATTCTGGCATGTACTATTATTAGAGACGTGTCCTTTTATATTTTCGATCCACACCCAACATGTACTACAATTGGGGACGTACTAGTAATGGAGACGTGTACGTTTAATGGGGAAAATACGGTGTTCTGTTTGTGCGCTACTTTTGCCTCTCATAGTGCGCTGGTGTGACTGTGTCTGTGTGACATGTTTTTGTTTGTGTGTGTATGTGTGTGAATGAGGGGATTGTATGCGTCTGTGTGTGTGCACGTGAGCACGCGTACGTATGTATGTGGGTGTGGGTGTGGGTGAGTACGTGCACGAGTGCATGTGTTCTACACGTGAATGTGATCGTATGGGTGTATATATGTATGTGTGTGTGTGTGTGTGTGTGTGTGTGTGTACGTGCTTGTATGTGTTTGTGTGGGCGTGAGTGACTGTGTTTGGCAGATTTACCAGCTTGCTTGCCACCACTGATAAGCAATGGGGATATCGGTTGGGATAGCTTCTATCTTGGCAGTTCAATAAATATAATCTGTAGCGCTGGAGCTATCCTTATTGGACATGACACAATCACATGTAACGAGACCGTCGAGTGGACACCCGATGCTCCAGTCTGTGTCCGTGAGTTGCTTAGGTCCACTTTCTATAACTCACCTTTTTCTTTAACTGAATGTGGCCTCTATCAACTGCATAAAGTTGAACGCACTTGGGATATAATTGTAGTGAGAGTTGAATTTTGTTCCACCAAAATGCATGGCAGGAATATGCAAAATTAATGCATGGTCCAGTATTTCTGGGGAGAACAAAGGATCAAAAACTTCAAGTTACGCTATAATGTTCAATAACACCACCAGTTGACGATCCGCTCATGCGATAACATTGCCCCCCCCCAATCCGGTCGCACGTCTAGCGAACCCAGGGCGCTGGTCATGCAGCCGTGGATAAGCGGTACACACATGCACTTTATGCGCTGCAGCGCGCTGGTTGCATCGGATTAACATGGCTGTGCACTGCAAGCAGTGTTCTGTACACGCTGAGGGCGCCGGCCCAGGTCATTCGACTGGATTTCCATGTCCGCTACAGTACATGAACGTAATGACAGCCTAGTCTAGGAGGCTCCCCCCCCCCCCCACCCTTCTTCAGCACCCCCATAGCACTGTATATTTTTTCTACAGAGCTGTAAGACCTAACCATTGAGAATCTTTTTGGATTGCAAGAACTCCGTGTTCTCGTGCCAAGTGCTCTGGTCAATCCTCTGCTTCTTTACTGTTAATTCAGGGCCTCCGGATATATTGACTGGCCTAATGGATCAGCACGTTCAGTATGGAGAAAACATTTCGTTCACGTTATCGGCGAGAGGAAATCCAAAGCCCTCTATTACCTGGTGGCGCAATGGTCATCAGATTTCCCAGGAAAAGGTCACCACCAGTGATTTGGCCAGGACATTTACAGACTTTACGGTTCTGTCGTCACTAACGATACCCGATGTCCAGCAAGGTGGTGTGGGTACTTACACATGTGCTGCTGCAACATCCCATGGACTAGCATCTAATACGTCGGCTACTTTGACTGCATATGGTGAGCATTTTGTTCTAGATTTTGGGAAAGAAACTACAGAACAGTCTCAACCTTAAAAAATTAAAGTGTATCAATTCAATTGTTTGCCTTTCACCCGTCCTTTTCTGAAACAGAGTTGGTAGAACTGGAGCCGTGTGTAATAATTTCAATTCGGCAATTACAGAGCAGTTACAGTCATGTGCACTGCCTTCCCTGTCTGTGTTCCCATGCATCTCTCATTCTTCTCTCCTTGCGGGTCTCACCCACCCACTCAATCACTCTCCCTCTGTGTCTCTCCATATCATTGTCTCTATTCTGTCTCTCTGTCTGCCTCGCTGTCTGTCCCTCTGTCCCTCTGTCTGTCTGTATGTCTGTCTGTCTGTATGTCTGTCTGTCTGTATGTCTGTCTCTCTGTCCTTTTGGACTACTATGTTGGAGTCTTAAACTCAGTTTCTGAATCAGAAATGGTCAAAGCACCCATGACGTGCACCTCTGTTCTTTTTTATTTCCCCAGGGTGTAATACAGTGCTATGAATTCATTCATATCTCTATTTTGTTCTAATTCTATTTCAGTTGTGTCCAGGCAACTGGTAGTGACTGGCCAATCGGTGGATTTTGCCTGTGATATCAGCGAATCTCTATCGGCATCTACGAGATGGTATAGAAATGGAACTGTAAGTATCGGGAATTCAGATAATCATGGACAAGGAGTGGTCATGTTTCATGTTAAGTTCTGGCCAGAGAGATTCGACCTAATGCATAATGTAGTGCCGTGCCTAAATGCAAAGACTGGCATGTGCGTGGTGCTAGGGCTGCGTAGCTGGCGTTATTTCATTCATGAGCTCAAATTTGTCTGGTTTCTGTCTCACACAGGAGCTCAATAGTGATGACCTTCTTGGCCGAGTGTCATTCTACAAGGGAGATAATGTCCTGACGATCTTTCGCGCTGAACTCACTGACAGCGGATTATATTACTGTACAGAACATGGCAGTCTGGGTGCGAAGAGAAGCAATAATTACACATCACTGCTGCTTCACTGTAAGTCTTTTTCCTTTGTAAAAAGAGCACTCTACCACGGCCTCTGTATGATGCAAAGTATCTCTTCTGTGATGCCATCAGCAGAGACCAACACAACCATCAGTACTCCTTTAGATATTGCTGCTCAGGCTGGCAGAGCCATTTAAGGCCACGCACGCACACAAACTTGTACTTGTTCACTGTCAAAACTGGTCGCGCGAGTCTCCGGGGAGACACACAGACCGACGACCCCCCCCCCCCCCCCACACCACACACTTATGCTCATATTCATACTCATAGACCTGCCCATTTTTTTAAGCGATGATTGCGAACAACGTATGTTAGACATAGCAACAGCTTACAAAGCTGATGAATTGGCCACCACTAAATTTGACCTGGTCTACACCATGCGGCTGATTGAAGTGGCTCTTCTGACCAGTGAACATACACATGCATGGACACACGCTCACATGCATGCACTCATACCTGCGTGCACACACACACGCACACACAAACACGCACACACACATATTCGCGCGCGCACACATACACACAGCTATTGTGCAGTTGAGGTGCGCTATCGCGTTTGGGCAAAGTATTTCACCCATCTCCTCAAGCTTCTCCCAGCTCTCAAGGGAGATCAACGTGGAATACTGACCTGAGAAATTCTGTCATATCGTTTCTGGCTTGCTCAAACACACTCAGTGAAATTTACTACATGTACAGTCAACTTCGCTAATAACAACTGCGGATATAACGACAATTCCCGAATAACGACAGAATGTCCATGCCCAGAGCACAGTCCATTCTACCTGAATACATATAATGAGACTTCGGGTATAACGACAGTTCGCGAATAACGACACTTTTCTGATGCCCCGCCGAGTGTCGTTATACGCAAAGTTGACTGTAGCGGGTTTATTCTATTTCTGTCGGTTTCCGTCGTGTTCACAGCACCTCCGGTACTGATTTCACCGATTCCGGAGTCGATCGTTGCTTTCGCTGGAGCATATCTACAAGTGTTTGCAATGTTCTATGGGTATACTGAGCCTAGTGTGGTATGGTGTGTAAGAGATAACGGCCAATGTGAGCAGACACCCGTACCTCAATGTGGTTCTATGAACCAGACCACTACCAGCTTTGCTAGGGACACGCTGACATTTCACACCATTGAGCCATGCGCTGCTGCAGAGTATGACATCGTTGCAAGCAACACAGCTGGTACTACGACACACCACACCATCATCGATGTGAAAGGTCAGAACTGATTCCAGTACACAGCGCAACCCTAGCCTAAATGAAGCCAATCGGCATACATCCTATTGAACTTTACCTTTTTGTGAGCCGAAAACAATGCAAAGCTAGGACCGCCATGCAGCTCCAATCTGTACTATGATGTGTAGAAGTACACGTGATCAAATAGGCTGCTCAATGCCATTTAAGGAAGAGCTTTCAACAAATTCTGCACAGGGAAATGAGAAGCTCAGTGTCTCAGTGCGTTTCTGTCTGTAGAGGACGAATGTGCTCGTTTTACCGCTGTGTGATGGTGTGTAGAGGTTGCACATGTCGGCATACAAGGAACCTTCGGATACCACCTACAAGGCACACTTCAACATGACAGGATTTCCACTGTTGGTGTTCGCGCAGACTTCTCGAAATTAGTGAGTCGCTGCTTTGGTTAATCATTTAGGCTTACTCTTACTGCCATTGGAAGTTGTCAACACAGTGATAAATCTCACCCCCATTGATGCGTTATTTCTTCCTTTATTTCTCTCTTTCTTTTTCCTTCTCTTGCCATGGCTGGCGAACACCCCCTTCTTCACATTGGCTTCTGCCATTGGACGGTGAAATCTTCTTGCAGGGAGTAGATTGAAATTCATGATAATCTGTACCAGGCTCTCCTTTCAAGAATAAAAAATAGAGGAAAAAATAGGAAAAAACTCCTTGGATGACGACTGCAGAGTACCTAGGTGGTAGAGCGTTGTTGGCCCTAAGTGATGGTCCCCTGTTCGAGTCCTGGTGGGGACAGGCAATTTTTTTCTTCAGACTTTTCCTGTATGCAACTTTCCCACAAAGGCATATGAATTACAACTACTGTCGTGGACATGGAAATCCAGTCGATTGACCGGGGCCGGCGCCCTCAGCGCCGCGTACAGAACGTTGCATGCAGTTCACAGTCATGTTGATTTGATGCGACCAGCGTGCGCATAATACAGTAAAACCCGTGACTAACGACCACCCCTTGGGGCCAGAGAAAGCGGTCTTTAATGGCAGGTGGTCCTTAGTTAGGGGTTTGCACGGCACAACCACAATATGAATGCGATACCGTCCGTGCCAGGTGAAGTGGTCGGTAGTACCAGGCTGGTCGCTAGTCACGGTGGTCTTTAGTTACAGGTTTTACTGTAGTACCAGGCTGGTCGCTAGTCACGGTGGTCTTTAGTTACAGGTTTTACTGTAGTACCAGGCTGGTCGCTAGTCATGGCGGTCTTTAGTTACAGGTTTTACTGTAGTACCAGGCTGGTCGCTAGTCACGGCGGTCTTTAGTTACAGGTTTTACTGTACATACATGTGTGTACTGCTTACATACGGCTGCATGGCCAGCGCCCTGGGGCCGCTAGACATGCGACCGGATTTCCATGTCCACGACAGTACATGTAGCATGCTGATCATTGCACACCCCCTGGGCTACACTCACAGAGGCTGATCGCCGTTTTCTCAAATTAGGAGCGAGAGCTTCCTCAATTGGTGGTTTGACAATTTCCTAGTTGTAGGTTTCGTGTACAGTACTTTGTGCAGCTCGGTGGGATTATGATAAGTCAGGCAAGTCTCTGGTGTTGTTTGCCCTGTTGCAGATGAGTTCTTGGATTGGTCAACTTGATTTCAAAGTTCAGCATTTTGAATATCAGAGTTTTGAGTAAGTTTGACCAGGTTTATTTGTGTCTGCTGTGTTGGTGGCTGCTCGGTTTTCTGGTGCCGATGGTGTCTATGTTTAGTACTTGTGACTTTATACCGGTAAGAGGGAAACAAAGCCCTCTCACGAAGCGATTATTCCCCTGGGCCTTGTTGCCTATGCGATTTGCCAAATGTGTAGCGAGAAGCTCTATAGCGATTATAGCAAGTCACCGGATGCAGAGCTTCACTGAGCCTGACTAAAAAATACTTCTGCACTTCTTTTGTTTTCTTTTTCTTGTTCAGGAATTCTACCGTGCAGATCCTAGCGGATATTGAAGTAAAAGCAAACCTACTAACCCAGATTGATAGAAATGTTTCTGTTCCAAACATCCGAACAATGGTCACTGCTCTACTGAGAAATGCCAGTACACCACTACAGCTGGTTGGATCTTCCCTGCAGGATTTTCAAGTTTATGGTAAGAGTTTGATAATTTTTCTAGTTTTGCAATCCTGTTTTAATTAATGAACTCACACAGTCGGAATGTTTGATACACAGTGAAAATGTGTGTGTAATGCCAAGCCAAAGAGGCACAGGATATAAGCCATTAAATACAGGTGGTTCTTCGACAAATGATCAAATGCGTGTGGCAACATGGTCCTGTCCTTCTCAAGTGTGGTGTGCTGCGACATATGATCACTAAATACACATTTACCTAAGTAGAAATACCTGGTACCAGGCTGATTCCAGGAAACTCTTGGACCTCGTGTTGCTATTTGTGAAAATATGGCCAGCGTTTATGCACAACCTCATGATTTGATTTCTCCAACTATTTTATCTATTGTTGACACAGATGTGTGTCAGGCTGAAGAGACGGATGTTGTGGCCAGAGGGAAATTCTCCTGGCGTCAGGCGTTCGCTGGCAAAGAGACCACCGCAGAGTGCGGTATCAGAGTAGATGAGAGCATAGTCCGCTACGCCACAAGATGGTGCATGACTCTGCCCCGTCGTCACAACTACAGTTTGGTAATGGGCAAGTGGCGACAGCCGAGGGCAGGCCACTGTCCGTCCAGAATTACGATTCAACTCTTCAATATCTCTCAGGTGGGTCACATAGAAATATATTATACCGTAAAGTCTCGTATAAAAGCTGCACTTGAATAGAAGCCGCACTCGAATAGAAGCCGCAATTTTGGGCTTATCAAATCACACATAAGCCTGGTTTTATTGTTGACATACATAGAAATACCTGTCTTGTAAAGAAACCTGTCTCATACAGAAGCTGCAAAATTTCACCAAGAAAGTCATAGAAGCCGCGGCTATTATACAAGACTTTACGGTATTCCATTTCGCCAAGATGAATCTTCTCAGGATCCTGCATATATGTGAGTCCCCCAGGATTATTCCCCACTTCTGTTTAAATCAATCTCCCTTGGAGAGCAGTAGCTGTAAAAAGCAGTGCATATGTTGATAAGATTCGACCAGCATGTCAGTTGTTTGTTCGTTCAGGGTCACTGTCTTGTATGGACATATCAGTTGGATGTCGTGTCTCTTGGTATGTTTTTACTCAGGACGATTTCCAAGCCAAGACACAAGACGAAATCCAATTGGATATTGAAGCAATATCCAACTTGACGAGCACACCAGATGATCTGAACCCAGATGATATCGACTATGCATCCATTGCTATCTTCAAGGCTGTGTGGGCAGCAGATCACACACGACAGTGGGATGTGGCAGTGTTGAAACGGGTAAGAAATACCTGCATATGTGAGAATGTACAAGCAAGTTGGCAATGAATATTTTCCTCAATAACAGTTTGCAGTTGGTAACTTTGTCATTGGGATGCACGTCTTAAAGAATTCTTATGCTTGTTATGCTATGTGGTTTTTGGTTGTTTGTGTACTTAGGGTCAGTTGTATATGCATGCTGGCATGACTGAGTTAGAAAACACTAGGAGATAAGCATGGCGTGTTTGCTAGCCATAGAATTGATCAATGCTATTGTTGCATTTCATAATGCGCATTGAGCAACCCTAACAAATCCGTTGAACCGTTGAGCAACTCTATGTATGTTTGTGGCAGTCAATTAACGAAACTAGCAAAGAGCAAGTGCAACTAAAACAGGGAGGCGTAACACTGCAGTCAGGTGTAAATAAAAGTGATGGGTCAGAGTTCATTCCGTAACTGTTTTGTGTTTCAGATTGCCAAGTTCACACTGAAGTCAATCAACAACATAGGCCTTGCATCTCCCTACAATTTACGGGCACCGGCCGCAGCTAGGTAAGATCACTCTAAAAACGAGTGTGCCACTTGTGTGTTGTTAATTGAATGTTCTAATGTTCTTGGGTATATTGTTAAGGGCTGAGTTGGGTAGTATTTTCTTGCGGTATCGGGTTCGGGTGGTTTTCCACAGGTAGCACCGGTACCCGATCGGGTAATGTGTCCATGGTAACACCGCAACACACCCCTTCCCTTACACATAGACATGGGGATTATTACATGGATTTGCACTGTACATGATGTCATCTGCGACTTCGGGCATTCAGGTACTATTCTGTACCAGTCTACCCGAGGTCCTCACGGGTAGCATGGGTACCCGACTACCCGTTTACACTGCTAGTATTGTTCTAGAATACATTGGGAATGACTTAGAAAATTTGCCGGCTTGTTTTCTACTGGGTTTGCAGATTGATAAAATCCATGGAGAAGATTCTGAAAATCATACCGCTGAAATATGGTGAAGTGTTCCAGGCTCATGAGAGTGAAGTCGCCTTTGCCCTCGCCTCTCAATTACCTGGACCGGCCAGTGATAGCATTCAGACTCAATTTGATCCGGTAAACAACACATTCAATATGGCGCCGGACAGTAGCACGGATGGCGCAATGCAAGACACAAGTAAGCAATCAGAAAATAATATAAAGATATTGGATATTGGATATGGCATGCTCTGGATTATGCCCCAGGCCATAATTCCCCTGGGCCATAATTCCCCTTGGCCATAATACCTCTGGACCGTAGTATCCTCAGGCCATTATTACACTGGACCATAGTTTTTCCAGGCCATTATTCCACTGGGCCACAGTTCCTCTTGGCCATTAGTCCACTGGGCCACAGTTCCATTTGGCCATACTTCACTGGTTCGATGTTCCTCTAGGCAGCAGTTACCCTGCCTCATACATGTAGGCGCACTGGGATGTGGTAGCCCAAGGCCATTGTTTATTCCCCTTGGTCGGACCTCCTTTGGTCCTAACTTCCCTGGGCTGTAGTTGGCTATAGTTACCCAGGTAAAGTTTCCCTTGCTGGTAACTATGTTGGAACTTGGCCTGGGTTAGACGCTTGTACGCTTCCTGTCTAACTGGTGGTATAGGTTCGAGACTCTTCAGACTCTGTATGTGTTACGGGTGCAGGTGCTTTCTCGTCTGTGTCAGTGAGCATACCGAAGAGTGCAATAACTGAAGCAACAAACAATATTCCTGACTCCGCACACGGAATGTACCCGGTCGCCTCCACCTCGGTGATCCTCTACCAATCGAGGAGTTTGTTCCACGACCGGAAACTGAGTGAAAATACATCTGTAGTGTCGGACATCGTCTCGGCACAAGTCGGCCTGGAAACAGTGGATGTGTTAGAAGACCCAGTTCTGATCACGTTCGACTTACTGAGTGGCGCTCAGGTCAGTATATGTGATTGCTTATGTCCAATGTTGCATCTTCCAGGTACATAATAGTCATGTTCTTAGCTTGACAATGCACCATACGTTTTGCTATGATGAAATGGTTGGCGCTGTGGCCGGCGTCGGTTCACGGGACTTGCTGCGATCAATAAATGGGTTAGCATAAAAGGATTACCCGGCAGGCAAAGTGGGATGGTCAAAGACCTTGGCTGAGAAGGAGCGGTCTTTAGTAACTGTGTTGCAGGTCTGAGCTACTCACCTCCCAGTTAGGATCTACACAAGTGCCTGGGTGTTGGCATTCCTAGCAATCCAGAAATTCCTGTCCAACTGGTTCTCATGCGAAGTGGGATTCATTTTAAATAAATGAGTCATTCAAGCAATTAGATTAGGCAAGCCCTGGTGTGAAAAGGGAAACATACAAGATATCAGGTTGGTAGTTCTGTGGGGAGTCATACCAAGGACATCACAAGACCATGAAAGTTGATATAATGTACGTGTGTTCCGGATTTGGAAGTTCCCAATCACCCGCAATCTCTGCAATTAGCCGATCCCCGTGTCTGTAATTCTTTTTCTCTTATTGGCCACAGGCCATCGTGAGAATATAAGATTTCAAATAGCCATGAACCGCTGTCCTGAACTGATCCACATCTGCAATCATCATTGGACAGACCTGGCTGATGTGTCACACGTACAGTCCGTCTGGGTGGGAAACCCATTATAATTATGGTCGCATCCAATCTAACCATAGATGCTACCACTCGCTGGAGTGTCGAGACGACACATCCTAGATGAGTGAAATGTAAAGTGCATGCCGTAAAGTCGTGTATAAAGCCGCAGCTTGCATGACTTCTGGGGGACATTTTGCAGCTTTCTATATATGAGACAGACCTAAACACTAAAACTAAAACTAACTAAAACCAGGCTTATCCTCCGACAGTGCATCTTGAAAAGCAGGCTTCTATTCAAAACAGGCTTTTTATGAGACAGGCTTTAATACAAGACACTACGGTATGTGAAGTGTCTTGATGACAACAATTAGCACGCTATAGAATTGCATTACCTCTTGGAGTTGTATGCCTGCCCTGTGCCCTGTTTGATCCTTATCCCACCCATGCACTTTTCTTTCCACACTACCTCTGCATTCACGTCCTTTTTTCTCTCTTCTTTGATCTTAGAGAGAGACTGACGAAATCAAGTGCGTGTACTGGGATTTCAACTTGGGTAAGTCATGGAATTTGTTTACCCCTAATCATGCTTTCACGCTGCAAGGCTTGATGAGTATATTCCCGAGAGTGAATCTCGAATAGATTGCTCAATGCAGAGGTGCATTTGCATTTATGCTGTTTGATGATTGGTTAGTGTATGGAAGTAACAAGTGGCCCTGCATCTGAGTTTCTTCGTTGGAGTTTCCTATGTCCTTGTTCTGGACGCGATGTCAGAGTGCTAGCACGTGTCTTTGACGGACGTTTCTGGTCTTTACCTTGCCTGTCTTAGCTGATGGCACTGGTGGTTGGCAAGATGAAGGCTGCAACGTGTCAAACAGCACCATGTCTCCCAACAGCGCAGCGTGTGAATGCTACCACATGGCACACTTTGCAGTTCTCCTGGTAAGTGTCTGCGTCCACCGTCTAATCTCACCTGTTGAATACTGTAAAAGCCATATATATAACGAAGTGCTAACTCTAACGAGTTAACAAGGAGAAATATGTCGTTAAAATAGAAATCGTTATACAGAAATCGATACATATACTGTCCTATTGAGCGCTGAGAATGAATGAGAATCGTTACATTTGGTAAACGTAAACTAGTCAATTTTGGGAGATAGTTATATATGCGCCTCGTTAGAATAATATTTTTTACAGTATACACTATTGACCTGAGACCGCGCACTTTGCAGAAGCGGTTTGTGTTCCTTTATGTTCTGTTGATCAGCAGATATTTGGAATATTAAAAGTGGATTGGCATGGGGAAACAAGGAGTCAGGATTCGGATTTTTGAATCTTTGAACACTTTGAAGCAGGTCTGTTTCGGTCACCCGACTCCGCTTTATGAGCTGTATCTGCTGTATCTGCTCAATTTTACAACTATTGCATTGAGATATCTGTTTTACTGTAAAGAATTTCATGTTACTATACCCCGATTTGCATTAGATTCGAAATATGACCATCAGTGGAACCACCACCGCCGAGACAGTCCTGAAGTTCATCTCAATAATAGGATGCGCAGTGGCAATGGTGGCTTTGCTGCTAACGAACGTGGTCATCGTGTCCATAAAGTGAGTGTGATATAATGCTAGCAATAGCTTGCTGTACATTGAGAGTTGCCATACTCGAGATATATCCTGAACTCTTTTCTTACTACACTCGTCAGGAATCTTCGTTGTACTAGAGGACATTGCAACACAATTGAACTATTATAGGAACCCGAAGATCGGTGCTGTAGTTTTAGGTGTTATAAACTCTTTTTTTGTCCTTTCTGTTCGTCAGGAAATTGCGCCAGCGTCACCACCATCAGATGGTGTTTGGTCAGTGTGCCACACTGCTTCTGTTCATGTCCGCCTTCATTGTAGTCCTCTATCACGAGCCATTGGAGAACAGTCATCATTCCTGCCGTGGCCTGGCGATCGTGCTTCACTTTCTGCTGCTCTGTGGCTTCATGTTCACATCGGTCGATGCAACGTTTCTCTACAAGCAGACAGTGATTGTGTTTGAAGAAATCAGTTCCACCATGCAACACTCCCTGCATGTTTTGATATTGGGTAAGTTCACTAACTACAGCAGTGCTGATCACTCCCCTGGGTGCACAGTATGCAGCATTCACTGCACATACAGTGCTAACTATCCCGGGTTAGGGTTCTGATCCAAGTCAAAGCGGTGGTTTCACTGAAACGTGACATTTCACACAAAGAAATCGCCGGTCAGCTACGGAAACATTCAGTAATTATCAATATACATATAAATTCAGAACGCCTTGGGTGGAATTCCTATTTCTTTGCAAAATAATATGATTTCTACATACCTTATTGATCGATGTGAAGAAGAGGTTGGCGCGATGCTTGGGGAATTGTGTGTTTCTCACTACATGGGAGCTTGCGCTATTCCTGCCGACTTGAATTCTCACTTGACTGACTCACGACTGCCATGCGGAGCACACGAGAAGTCCATCGAACCTTTCACTCGGCAAACCGGCAAGAAAGAACCACTCCCTGCTCACTACACAGTGTTGCGGAGAATTCACCCCTCATCAGTTGAGCTTGAGTAGCGTGAGGATGAGTCAATGGACATGGACAATCAGCTTGCACCAGTGTATGCCCAGTGTCCACAGGAATGGGCTGTGGTTTCTCGTAAAAAAAAACAAAAAAAAAAACAATGGCGTGTGTTAGCCACAACGCAAAACCATGAAGTTCATTCATAGGAGAATAGGGATGTCTCTTTATGGTTTTCCAGTTTGACAAACCACTCTTGCCCATCTTCTTCATGCCCATGTCTGCAGGCATACCGGTCATATTCGTCGGCCTCTCCGCAGCAATAACCGGTGGAGAAGCGTACGGCGGACAGGATTTGTAAGTTATTCAAAACATTTTGCTTTTTACCATTAGCCACCTACTTCTCTTCCGTCATTCCTTGAACTTCAGGGGAAGTTAAGCCTATAATCAAATTTTCACCACTTGTAGTCTTCGGGGTGCTGAATCGAATGGTCTTGGTCCGAGGAAGCTGAGATGCTCTCTTCCTCCTTTATTCCCAATCCAACTCGCGCACTTCCACCGAAACTGGGTGACTGCGCCCTACTAGATGGGGATTTGTATACAAAATGTCACTAAAAGCGCCATGTCGTTCATATCAAAGCACGGATGACCGCGATTGGCCCATATGTTTTAGTCTTTTGGACGCTGAGTCGACTGGTTTTGGTCCGAAAAGGCTGCGATGCAGCGTTCCTCCTTTATTCCCAATCGAACATGGTTGAACAAGCGGTCACGTGCTCCTGGGTGCCAAAATCACCTGGTCAGCGCGTCAGCAGGCGACAACTTTCACACCAAGGTTCAACTCGATTTCAACTCGAGTGACAGGACTGCACCCAAAAAAGGCCAAACAGGCTGTAATTTGTACCCTGCAGGCACGGTGACCAGGTGACTGGCGTACGCAGGAGCACGTGGCCGCTTGTTCAACCATGTTCGATTGGGAATAAAGGAGGAACGCTGCATCGCAGCCTTTTGGGACCAAAGCCAATCGACTCAACGTCCAGAAGACTACAACATATGGGTCAATCGCGGTCATCTGTGCTTTTATAAGTACGACATGGCGCTTTTAGTGACATTTTGCATAAAATCCTCATCTAGTAGGGCGCAGTCACCCAGTTTCGGTGGAAGTGCGCGAGTTCGATTGGGAAAAAAGAAGGAAGGGAGCGGCTCCGCTTCCTCGGACCAAGACCATTCGACTCAGCACACCGAAGACTACAACTGGTGGAAATTTGATTATCGACTTAACTTCCCCTTTAAAGAATATTGTTTGAAGGTTTGTGTTTGTTAGGGGTGCGTCTTACAAATTAGTTTCTTTTTGCCAGCTTATAAGGCTCAACACAATAATGTGGAGCACCATTACAGACAAAGACACAAACGAGAAGAAAGTGTCTCCTCCAAACGTCGGAGATCACGCTTTCTGCCCACTGACTGGACACTTAAATGTTTCACGACTACGCGAGGAAGTGCGAGCTCTGTCGTTCGAAGCGGACACTTTATTCACCGATCATCGCAAATGTCGCGACATCTATCTTTCTTTTGCACACACGAGGTTTGCATATATTGTCGCAAATCCGAGTTTCTTTGCTGAATGCAATCATCAATCGACTTGTGACTTTGTGTCTTTGGGCGTTGTTTCTGTATCCATAGGTTTTGGTGCACTCTGTTTTCTCTCCCCTATGCTCTTGTGTAGGTGTTGGATCAATAGTGACAGCGTGTTCTATGCGGCTCTTGTTCTCCCCGTGGCGATTTGCCTCGGCTACAACATTGTCGTTCTGCTCGCTGTTGTCATCACCATGCGGAAGAGCGGCAAGAATCTGGCTGCTTCCTCGGCCAAGAAAACGACAAGCAGGCGTGCTATGCTGGCGATGGTCGTGTCCATCTCAATCCTGCTCGGGCTCACCTGGGTGTTTGGGTTTCTGTTACTCATTTATGATAACCTGGTATTTCAGTACATCTTTGCTGTTCTCACCTCGCTGCAAGGTTTAGCGATATTTGCGCACGTCGTCCGTTCGCGAGAGGCAAAGGCCAGCTTTCAGACGCTGTTCAAAAAGTCGCAACCCCGCAGTTCAAGACGCAGCGGCTTTTCCCAAAGGGTCCGCAGCTATTTCAATCTCTCCAGTACCAAGTCAACCAGCGATGGGCAGAGTAAGCACTCCAGGAGCATCTCGAGTCTTTTTAGCACAAAGTCTAGTTCAAGCCTTGCAGCTAAGAAAGTTTCTTCATCCAAGCTTCCTAGCACCTCGAGGGGACTCCAAACGTCGCAAGATAATTTGACTAAATCTTTCACATTCGCCAGTTCTGACGATTCTTCTAGTCCCAAGCAAAAAGGAGAGAGGATATATTTAAGTGTGGACTCTGATCAGGAACAATCCTCTTTGGGCTTAGAGGCAGTCGGGGCTCAGAGCGCTGACAAGTTGTATAGTCCACACCAGAAAAATGGCATTGCTGCACAAAGTTCCAAGAGATTCAAGTTTGAGCGATATCATAGTGTTATCTCTGGTCCAGCTTAGGTCATTCCATTCACCTACCTATTGCGTATAGTGAACCTAAACACGTGACACTAACATTCTCAACGTCATACTACTTTTGAGACGAACACTGTTCCTCTGTTTTCGAACCCCTCGAGTCTATTAATTTCCAATATTTTTCTCTGCTGGTAAGGGGTTTCCTCTCTCATTTCGGATGCTCTTTGCTAGCCGTACTCCAGCAGGTAGCCTCTGGCTTGTAATTATTTACTTAGTAGTAGTGGTACTTAGTAGTTGTTATTATTTGACTAGGGGAGTCCCAACAGGCTACTGCCTTTTTACTGGGAACCCTAGGTGAAGTTTAATCATATTAATGAACACGTTACAGAGCAAGAGAGTGGGCCTGTCGACAGTCAGCTGGAAGAGAGTTCCATCTGCCTGCCACCAGAAAACGAATAGAGCGCATGCCATACTGCGTATAAACGAGTGTGCTTGGATGTGTGACTCAGCAACTGAAACATAAAATAATTATAATGGGTGTCGTAATACTCCATTGAGACTGCTTACAGCCATGAACGAAGTGTGACAGACTTTCAATTCGAGACAAGCAAGGGCAAACACTAAAACAACAACTTTCTGAATTCTGCAGGCGTCAAGAGGACAGCTACAGAAAGGTCGTATTGTTGGTACATGGAGAGCCCAACAAAACAATACTGATTCAAGAGGGATGAATGGGTTGCTTAGTTTGTACTTGTGCATGCATGTACATGTTGTAGTAGTATTAGTATTTATTTTACTTACCATCGGATGCCTCAACAGTGATATACAGTCGTCCCTCTCTAATCCGGCACTTTATAAACCAGCACCCTCGATAAACCAGCACAATTTTCAGTAGCCAAATGTCCTCTTCATGCACATTGCAGCAGTAGATCAGATTTGTTAATCCAGCACCCTCCCTAATCCAGCAGATTTCCGTGGCACAAATGGTGCCGGATTATAGAGGGACCACTGTACACAACTCTTAACTAAGAGGGACGATAACGGGATAAGTGGAAAGGAAAAGAAAAGAAAAAGTAGAAACAATTTGTAATCCAGACATCAAGCAGTACAGTTATCAAACACCAAGTCAACTTCAAGCTTAGTACAAGAACTATGAAGATCATCGAGAAACTCAACAGATTCCAAAAGGAAGGTCAAAATACTTCTTTTATAACGCCACTGGGTCTTTAAAAAGATCCCTGAGTTGGTTTGCAAATGTAGAGGTACGGTGGTGTCTGCGCCACTCGGCTCTCTTTTCTTGTGTGGCTATGAACGCATGCTATAACGTTGAGGACACACTCGTACACTGTACATGTTACAGTATCAAGCACGACGTGCATGTCATACATGTACATTTTAGGTGGTCACTTCATCATCGCTCCACACATGTAAAACACCAATAGATTTTAACGTACAAGAAGGTCTATTGCCATTTTCACTCAAACAGTTGCGGCAATGAACTAGCATAGAAGACCATTAAGTGCCTTGTGAACACAATGCATACCATACACCATCCGTAGTAGTGTTGAACCCCGCATTGTAGTACATGTAGTTGCAAGTTAGCTACATCAGTACATGTACATGTACATGTACTAATGATGCACATGGGTAGATAGATCTAAATGTACAGTCATGTACATAGGGGAGCTGAAGATTTTCAAAGAGAGCGGCAGGCGTGTGAAGCTCGTAAAATGCTTATACTCACCCCTATGTGAAACTCTGAGTAACAGCAAGATGTACCCTTGCACTCAGAGGTGGGCAAGGAAAACCATCTTGCTGTTACTCAGAGTTTCACATATGATGCGATCATTAGGCGGTAGTGACTGCTACAATTTTGTGCACAAGTACATATTGTACAGTCATACAAGAGAGAGTTTGGAAGCTTTGTTACAACTCTGAGTTTCACGTATTACTACGATCATCAGGCGTAGTATTACGTGTAGTAATACGTGAAACTCAGAGTTGTAACAAAGCTTCCAAACTCTCTCTTGTGTACAAAGCTCTGCCCTACATGGGCATTGAGCACTCTTCGGACAGTGAAGCACACCACGGGCACTAGACTATTGTACAGTCATATAATTGAACACAATGTTTAAAGTGCACTGACACTCAGAGACCAGGAGCCAAGTGTGCGACGGGTGCTGCAAAGCCCTGTAGTCTAGGCCTGTGGAAAGGCGCAGCGATTTCATTGGGCAGCAGTATAATAATAATTGTTATGGCTTTTGCAAGACGGAGTTAGTGTGAGCGAATTCGCGCCAGTGAACACAGACTTGATTCTCACCCATTCAGTGATCTGAGGGCAACGTCATGACGCAAGACGCACCAGGGTAGAGGGTGAGTTGAGGGTAAAAACGAGTGTGAGTTGTGGCATGAAAATCTGCTCCATACCAAATTAACAGCTGCATCTCTCGCCCCAAAGTCGTAATAATTGGATCGGGTAGCCCAAAGCATTTCAACTCTGCTAAGTTCTATGAACGCCCTTGTTGTGCAGTGTTCACGGACCATTGTGCACCTCCTCAGTTGGCAGTTGTCAAACATGTCATCTTGTCATAACAAATCACGCACCTGTCACGTGGAGTGCAAGTCTGGACGCAGGTGAGTGACATGATGTGATTTTCACTTCTATGCTACAGTAGTCATGAAGATCTATATAGGAGCGCATAACACGTTACGGAATGAGGATGACTACGAAGCGGTCCACGCGCTGAATACAGCTTGCATCATTTTGGTAGGGCCTGGGCAATGCGAGTGACCCTGAACCAAGGAGTCTTGAAAGCCCTTCATTGGATTTAGCCCAGGCGCTAGGCACTCTTCCTGACACTTGACGATGTCGCCTTTGCCTCACATACATTAGTCGATATGTTGCCACTGTCATGCACGTGCCCGAGTTAAATCACAGGCCAGTAGATCTACGCAGTGCAGTATGTCCGTGACTGAATGTGACAATCATAAAGTATCCGTTACTTCTGACAGAAAACAGACACAGTAGGTCCACCTCTAGTCTCCTACACGTCACTGTCGTCGTGTACATTTACGCGTGCGTAATCGCAGCACGTAGATCTACCGAACAACAAAACAGCACCAAATCTACGTGTTACAGGAAATGAAAGAGGCTGAACCCGTCTACGACTACTTCTGGCCTCTACTGAACTCCGAGCGACTCTGGCAAGAACACACTCTGCTCTACGAAGTGTGCATAACACCTGGTCTGCACGCCTCGAGGGCACACCATGAGCTACACAGGCCTTTAGACTTTTTAGTTTTTTAGACCACTCGACTTCACACTCTACACAAGCAAATAGATCAGACGTTTACAACCTCGCTCCAGCTCCGTCCGTGACTGAGTGTGATATTCGCACCTTTGAGTTAGATCTAGCCTGGAAAGTGGCGGGTTATGGTCGCGCATTCACACCTTCCACGACCATCCACAAGCTGAGACCTTGAACTTGAATGGAACGTGCGGGGCGAAGCTAGATGTGTGCCAGTCTGTTGTTGAGCGAAGCAAATGAGAAGGACTTCTTTCTGGTCGTTCTTTCTACCCACGTCCCGGCGTGTATTAGTACTGCATTATTTTATTTGGGACATTCCATCGCTGTTTTCTTGAGGATATCCTCTTTCCGGCGCTTGGGGCCGCTAGCACCTGCGCTCCCGCACTGTGTATTTCACATCACACATGTAGTTGTTGAGTGCAAAGCTGGAGCTGATGCGTGGGCTCCTGGCTCCGGCCACGAGTCCAAGCCGGTTGATATGGCTCGGCTGGACTGTGGTGGTAGTGGCTCTCTCAAGTAAGTTTGTCTTAGGCGTAGACTGTCTCAAAGAAAATGTGGGACTGGAGTTTACATGACTAAATTTGCCAATTTAATCATGACTACACTAAAACATCCTCTGGAGGCGGAGAAGTGGAAGGTGCTTCATGAATGAGTACTGGAGAATCCTGCGGAAAACCCCATGGGCTTATCTGTTTCACAAGGATATTTCCGTGGTCGTATACAAGAACATGGGCTTATACGCAGGCATGGGCATACACTTACATCAAAATTGTGCATTGAAAAGTACCAAGGAAGTGAGAAGCACTTTGCCGAAAACCACTGTGCAAACAAAAACAACCGATGATTGTGTTCAAATGTACAAAAAAAAGCTTCGTGATGTTCGGACTTGACAAGGGCTTATGCGCGAGCATGGGCTTATACGCGGGTAGGCTTATCCGCGGGATTCTATGTTATTGTATTGCGCGCCTACGAAAACTTGCAATGTGACCTCTGGTGTATATAGGGCTAGTTACAAGAAAAACTTGTGTACATCCTACACTAAAACATTAGTCTTGCAATTCTGAGGTTTGGAAAATGAAAGACAATGACTTCAAACTGAGGCCAATATTGTTATTGAAACACCCAAAGGTTACCAATCACTGAACCCACAACTCTCGGTGGACATGGAAAGTAGTTAATCACCTCACCGCACTCAGTGGGTCCCCGAAAGAAAGATTTGACGGCTTTTAGGCAGTGTTTGCTCCTGAGCCGGGTCAGGCGGGTCAGCTGGGTAAGCCACCCAGTTGGGGGGGGGGGGGGGCGGTTCTTAGATCCATTTGGAAAAGAACACTGGATCACTTGTGACCTGGTTGGGATTAGTATACATAATATGCTAGGTATACTGTCCTAACTATTCATAGCTGATCCCTGATACATGCAGTAGGATAGCCGCATTTCACCCTCCCCCCTACCCCCCCCCCCCTACCACCCCCCCCCCCCCCCCCTCTGCCATGACGATACTTGACACTAGGGTGGGTTGGTCAATCACAGCGGATGGTTATAAAGCTTCACTAGCATGCACTTTATCTGTGGTAGGCAGGTATCATTACCTTGAGATATAGCAGGGAATAATTATTATGAACCCGGGAAAGGACAGGGCAATGATTTCCGAAAGCAGTGTTTGACAGTCAGACAGTCCAACGATTTCCTTCCCAGACTAGGCATATGCGGATAATGCCTACAGAAAAATTGGCAGAGTTCGGTACTTTTTCTGGTACGTTTCATGCATGTTTGGTATGCGGATAAAGAAATGGAGCAGAATTCGAGGAATTGCCCACCATAAGGTTTTTTATGGTTCTGCCAATTTCACTGCTTTTCGAGCGGAATCTGCCACTTTTTCGAGCATTATCTGCACACCCCTAACCCAGACGCATCCCAAAACAATTCTTCAAGTGCACGTGAGCTGATGGTCAAGTAATTTGCGGTGTTACTTCTTGGGATTCACACGATCCTCTATTCTTCATTGAGATGGACCCTGACACCAACCTACCAATCCATGCATGCCTCAACCCCCCCCCCCCCCCGACACACATGTGCCAAGATACACAATGCACAAACACACAGGCACATACTTAACCACAGGCATTTGTATTAGCACTATGCACTGTGCATACCTTACAACCGTTCAACATTGAAGCAAGTACTTTGCATGTCTTTTGTATTCCTTGCTCAGGCGTCACCATCAGGGCACAAACCAATGGTGAGATCCACGCTCAAATGCCAGGTTTGACTAGATGATATTCCTTTCCGAGTCGTGAAAATAAAGAGGATATGAAGAATTGTATATTGGTTCGTTTGTGTGTGTGTGTGTGTGTGTGTGTGTGTGTGTGTGTGTGTGTGTGTGTGTGTGTGTGTGTATGTGGGGGTGAGGGTCTGTGTGTGCTTGTGTGTGTTTGTGTGTGTACAGTGGCGGATTTAGAGGGGGGGGGGGGCGAAGGGGGCACGTGCTCCCCCTTCAGAAGCGCCGACCGACTTTTTTTTTTTACTGATCTCGATCGAAACCGAGCTCGCGCGCACTTCCTGTGTGGATGACAAGGTCCCAGTCGCTGTACTGCATGCACTGTACACATTCATGCACTGGTTCACCGGGTCCGTAGATCGATACGCGGTACGCGTGTACTGAACTTGTGAACTGTCAACTCTCGTCGCGTCAATCTGTATTCAGCGATCCGCGATCCGTGCGCACCAGAACTACGGTTTTGGTCTAGTACTGCACTGTACTCGTAGTACGAAAACAAAGACGGTGCAAGTGCAAGTGCAAGTACACAGTCCAAAACTTTGCATGGCAATGCGTAGATTTTCCTGCCCTTGCCTTGCAAACTTCACTTGCCTTGGCGTTCCAGAACCTCGTTGTTGTTTTACAGCAGTTCGAAAATGAAGAGAAGGAAGCAACTTACCTTGTTCGAGTATCACAAAAGTCATTGTAAAAGTAAACTTGTTCCATTGAGCCTGTAGTGTGCCCCCCCCCCTTGTTTCGGATCCTGGATCCGCCACTGGTGTGGGTGTTTATTTTTGGGTGTTTCTGCGTGTGTATAAACTCTCTCATATCTCCTTCATCTCTCTATCTCTCTATTTTTACAAGCTATATCTCTATCTCTATCCTCTCTCTCTCTCCCTTCTCCCTCTCCCCCCTCTCTCTATCTAACTGTCTATCTCTCTCTGTCTCTCTCTGTCTCTCTCTCTCTCTCTCTCTCTCTCTCTCTCTCTCCATCCGTACGTCCATCTGTCTGTCTCTCTTTCTCTCTCTGTCTCTCTCTGTCTCTCTCTGTCTCTCTCTCTCTCTGTCTGTCTCTCTCTCTCTCTCTCTCTCTCTCTCTCTCTCTCTCTCTCTCTCTGCCTGTCTGTCTGTCTGTCTGTCTGTCTCTCTGTCTGTCTGTCTGTCCGTCTGTCTGTCTGTCACTCTCTCTCTCTCTCTCTCTCTCTCTCTCTCTCTCTCTCTCTCTCTCACTCCGAGACAGCAACAATATTGTCATAGTTAGGTGTGCAGTGCGTACGTCCGGTCTCACCGTGTAATAATCAACTGCACACCATCGTTGTCAATGTTCTTGCACTAGATACCACCGATTTCCCACCTATTACCGGCACAGACATCTTCAATGAGAGTAAGTTTCTGCCATGCCCTGAACAGTTGTTACATATGGGGATTTCTAGCATCATAAAGAATCATAGCATGTAGTCAAGCCGGATTCAAACCTACGGTCTGAGATAAGGGCGCAGTTTTGTAATATGCCCATTTACACATAATCTCGTCTGCCAGAGAGTCATGAAATGAGTACTCCAGTGTGTACCCTACTTTTCTCGGATAACCGCCAGAGGAATACGTAGCTTTGCACTGTGCAAGTAATATTTTTCTCAGTAATGTGCATATTGGGCTCATCATGTCCCCAACCCTTGCTGTCTATTGTGGACTGCTGCCATCTCTTTGCTTACCCAAGGTACTACGGCAGTTGTCCCGGTAACCGGCACAGATTCGTTCAATGAAAGTAAGTTTTGAAATTCTCTGAAAAAATGGCATGTACAGTAAAACCTGTCAAGGCGACCACTTGGATAAGGCGATCACCTGTCCGAGAAGACCACTGCAGCCATATTCACGGGATGCTATTTACAGTCAAATGACCCTGGATAAGGAGACCACCTGGTAACAGAGACCACATTTTGAAGGTCCCATGAGCGGTCGTCTTACACAGGTTTTACTGTATTCCATTTGCTCACAGTGAACAGCAACATTGGATCTCTGCATGCTACCAGAATCCAGGAATCTCAGGCCTACGGATTGGTTGGGTCATATGTTAAGACAGCATGTCTGAGAATACCAAAGTATGTGTGCAAGTGGATCTCTCCGATTTCGCTCAAAATTTGCAGGTAGGTTCCCTTTGGGGTGTGGATCGATTATGCAAAGCCCTTGAAAAAGTTTCTAAAGGGAACCTTGAAATTTGCATACCCCTCAAAAATGGCGGAAATATCACATTATTTATGAGTCTAGAAACGAGTCACGCCACAGCGTATACGAACAAGCTATGAACAAAACTCCATCAAGCCAACATTGCCTCACCTTAGAAGAGTTCCTGGAGCAGTACCGCTTAGCCACGCCAGCATCCCAGAAGACGAGGTCCATCACCCCCTGACGCCACAAATGATCGTCTTGAAAATAGCCAATTTACAAGCGCTGGCAAAACAGCCAGCTACGTCCTCAATTGGCCAGAACTATACACCGGCAGATAGTAGAACACCTCTTCTAGCGCTGAGGACATGTCCCCCATCTTCCTTTTGGGGTTTTCTTGAAATAAACTTTTTTGAATTTTTCCACTCGACCATGCTGAAATACGGCCAAAGTCATACCTGCGCAGGAAAGCTCGCTACTCCGCGACGTCTCCTCAGCAATTTCTACTCCAACACTACTCCCAAGGCCGCAGAACAAAGTGTAGTGTTGACTCTGACAAGGAAAAGCAGCGGTGATCACTTGTCACTCCAAACGACAAGCTTCTCCTTGCGCCACCAATAATTTTTTGTGCGACTGTTGATGCAAAAGTGACTGAAGGCCGGAGCGCAGTTTTTGAATTTTATTGCAAGATGCACGGTGAGATCGCGTGCTCTGCGACCTAGGATGACGCTTCCTGCATCACGTTACGCGGCCATCGATCGCGAATGTGCCTGGAACGCTACTCGGAACAGACCATGATGGCAGAGGTAAGATGAGCTTCATTTCCTGCTTGAACTGCTGAGAACCCCCACAAACTGTCCTAGGAGTGTTGCAATGGCAGCAAGCCGTTGGAATATGCTCCGTACAGCATGGAGAGTTATTCGTCTTTCACACTTACCTCCTGCAATCCCTAACATAGTCCAACAGTAAAAGTCCCTTGTTTTCATGTCGATGCTCGACAAAAGCGACTAGCTCGGTCCCTTTGTGCTGACTGGCACGCGAGCAGCACTGGCTGCACGCACTTGTCGCGTGAACTGCATGAGAGATTTCTTACGTCATAAAGAATGTGATTTCATCATCATTTCACTGGTCTTCGACCTACATGGTCAGGGAAAGTCCCGGTTCGTAGGCCTACAACACGGTCAGCGTGTTCTTGAGCGCCGTAACAACACAAGTGTGATCACTTCCAGACCAACGGGCGTTCAAGGCGAGTAACAAGCGCACTTGCGTCACAAGGCACGTGATTTCACCGTGCATCTTGCAATAAAATTCAAAAATTGCGCTCAGGCCTTCAGTCACTTTTGCAGCAACAGTCGCACAAAAAATTATTGGTGGCGCAGGTATGACTTTGGCCGTATTTCAGCATGGTCGAGTGGAAAAATTCAAAAAAGTTTATTTCAAGGAAACCCCAAAAGGAAGATGGGGGACATGTCCTCAGCGCTAGAAGAGGTGTTCTACTATCTGCCGGTGTATAGTTCTGGCCAATTGAGGACGTAGCTGGCTGTTTTGCCAGCGCTTGTAAATTGGCTATTTTCAAGACGATCATTTGTGGCGTCAGGGGGTGATGGACCTCGTGTTCTGGGATGCTGGCGTGGCTAAGCGGTACTGCTCCAGGAACTCTTCTAAGGTGAGACAATGTTGGCTTGATGGAGTTTTGTTCATAGCTTGTTCGTATACGCTGTGGCGTGACTCGTTTCTAGACCCATAAATAATGTGATATTTCGGCCATTTTTGAGGGGTATGCAAATTTCAAGGTTCCCTTCAGAAACTTTTTCAAGGGCTTTGCATAATCGATCCACACCCCAAAGGGAACCTACCTGCAAATTTTGAGCGAAATCGGAGAGATCCACTTGCACACATACTTTGGTATTCTCAGACATGCTCTCTTAATGTATTGTACTGCTGCTGTTGGATATCATGGCACTGTTTTGACCCTGTTAGATCATACCTTTGTTGTGATTATTTTGCATGTTCTCGATTTTAACACCAGGTACAACTCAAATGGTACCTGTGTCCAACACTGCCGCACTAACTGATAGTAAGTTCTACCGTAGAATGACCAGAGGACCTCTGTGAAGAGCAGGGAATTGATGTCTGCCATTATCATCTTAAAGACTGATCTCTCTCCTTATCTCTTTGTCTCTACCTCTGTTTCTGTCTCTGTCTCTACTTCAGGCAGTAAATATGCTGCTGGTTATTGCTCAGTCTCTGTCTGTGTATCTGGTTTTGTCTACATCTGGGTATTTCGCTTTCAGTCAGTCTGTCTGTCCGTCTCTCTCTGTCTCTGTCTCTGTCTGTCTCTCTATCTCTCTATCTATCTATCTCTGTGTCTCTATCTCCCATATATTTGTCTCGACTACCTTTTTGATTCCCCTCCGTCTCTTTTGTCTACTTCCCCGTCTTTCAAGTTCCTCTCTCTTTCTCTGTCTTTTGATCAGCATTGATTATTCCCGGCTTAATCAAGCCAGGCTTGCCCATCATTGTATTGTGTCTAATGCACACACTTTCAGGCAGGCACAGTGGGGCAGGCAGACAGGCACAGTGGGTTGGTCTAAAACCTTTGGCCTATGGTTGGTGGATCTGATCTATCCTTCCCAATCGTTAACCTCTTTAGCACGACGTTACCTGAGCGCGCCCCACGTCAACACCTGTAAAAGTCGCGTTTTCCCATGAAAGTACTAGCTGCTCAAGGATCGATAACTTTACCTTCCCTTGGACGAATTCCACGATAGTGAGCTTCCTGGAAAGGTCTTGAGATGAGGGACAAACTGGTATCAAACCCAGCTCGGAGTGAAACCAAAACCCCGTGCTACAGTCTGGCAAACTTCATCCACGCGCTCGACAGACTTGAGCATGGCCAAGACTAACCAA